GGGTTTCAGGACACCCCAATAGATTCAATAGATATATATATGTTTAATGGGAAACACATGGGAAAAGCCATGTTTCGAGGTTCATTAAGTTTTTGTTTCCTTAAAGCAATCCATGGATGTGATTATCCAAGACTGGTGTTTCGCAAGTGTAGGACTGATTGCAGTTGTAGCTGATGGGAAACCGATGGTCTTTTGGCGCATTGATTCTTGGACCCTGCAGATATGATATAGTCTGGTGTACTATTCACTATTCATAGCTGGCATGTGCATGATCCATGTGTCACTTCTGACATATCACTGGAAGTAGTGACATCAGATAAAGGAAGTGGAGAGCAACCAGTATCAGAGCAGCTTGAGATCTAGATGATTGCTGGACTATCAATCGGCAAAACCCCCGCTATTTTTGGGTTGGAGGCAGCCATGGGTTTCCTAAGTCATTTCAACCCAGACGATTGTAGCTCCTGTGCATCGTGACCTGCTGCGAGGTGTGTGGCTTTACGGTCCATGATGCCAAAGAGCTTAGTCAGGAACAACAGCGATGACGTCCATTGATGGATGGAGATGTTCTTCACTCACGGAGTGAGATATGTCATGTCTAGATATGTGGGTGTGTTTGAACATGGGGAATACCCGTAAAATTGTCCATTTCATAGGGAGAATGACGATTCATCAATGGATTTGGGGGTATCCTATTTTTCAAACATGTCTAGATATTTAATCTTAAATGTATAGAGTCTTGAACTCACATTGGTTGCATGAATTCCATGACATTAGATTTATCGCATCATGAACTCCCATTTGTATCCATTTGTGACCTTCAGATAGACAGCAGTGATTTCTGATGAAAGATTGAGTAGATGAACAAGCGTTTATTTTGTTGCGATAAATGGTGAATTGGCTCATATCCAGTTGAAAGTTGTTTTTGACCAGATATCTGCCACTAGACTACTAGACATTTGTAGATCCAGCCACTTTCGCAGAATAATCACATTGTTGGTGCCGGTATAATGATGATAATCCTCTCTCCCTATTACTAAAACCCCCCAAATGGTAAACACGGTGATCTGTTTTTATTATTAGGGGGTATTTTGTATTAGGGTGCCCCTAATATTCCAATGAAAACCCTAATCATAAAAATAAAAAACTTGATTTCAAATTTCATTAAATCCCTTTTAAACATCGATAAAAAATATTGCCAAAAACTGGATTTCGATGCTTTCCCCTGATATTCCAATGAACACCTTAATAATAGAAATAAAACTTGTGAGATGGGACCCTAATAACAAATCGCCAGGTGGCAATCTATTTTTATAGGGGGCTGAACCCATTTTTTCACCATCCTGTTCTCCTATTGATTCTCAATTACCACAATTAACAATCCAATTGTGCCCAACCAAAAAAAAAACGGAAGCGCCACACCGATCCTATTTTTTGGCGGGGAGTTTTGGCAATAGGAAGAAGGGATTAATACACTATCTTTGGTGTACACTGTACACTATGATATTATTGTACCATAGTGTATACCCTGCGGGTTGCCACAGTTCGCAGGATGGAAGTGCAGTAGATCCTCTTGTTGCCCCTCGGTCCTGGTGTTCCACAGCGCTCACCGGAAAATCGACAGGAACAAACATCGGAAAAACCATGGTGTTACCAGGTGGTTCCATGAATTTCAGGTGGTTCCTGGAAATGATCCCTGCAATTTCAGGATCTAAGGACCACTTCAAGGTTTTTATGACATCACATGGTCGTGGGATGTGAAGATCCACTATTTCATGCTTGGTTTACCAGCCTTGAAACCAAGGTCTTCCATTTTTTGGACACCTGTACACAAACGTAGCGTGCTATTCCTCTGCCACATCTCAAGTGTTGCTGGTCATATCGATTATATTATAATATTAATAATATATTATAATAAATATATTATATTATTATATTATATTATAGTATATTATAGTATATTTTTATATACAATTGTATATATGTTGCTGGCCAGATTGAGAGGTAGTTACTTGTTACACCATCAGCACTTACGTTTGGACACATCCCTATCCATGGCCTCGATATTGGATGCTGCTGAGAATGGACTGTAACCAGCAGCATCATTAAACCAAGGCTTGTTGTGAGCGCTCACAAAGCCTAGTTTCAGATATTATATTCAATGATTATTTAATAAAAGAATGCTGTTCCTACCTCACAGCAAGACCTTTCTACTGGGCACTTGCTGGTATCCTGACCATGGAATGCTGCAGAAAACGATGCTGGAGACTAGTCTGAAAACAGCCCTTATCCAAGTAGTCTCCAAGACATGTTTTGACACAAAAGACTCCAACTTGGAAGGCGTACCACAAGCCCCTCCCTAAACTCTCCTGGTGTGCATATTCTGTTTGCCAGTCTTTGCAGTTGCAGGGATTCATCGGCTAGATCATTAGAAATTATATCATTCTTTTTTGGCTCTAAGTCTATCTATTTGTTTGTTTGTTTGTCTATCTGTCTATCTATCTATCCATCTATCTATATATGTGTCTATCTATCTATCTATCTATCTATCTATCTATCTATCTGTTAGATGATCTATCTATGAAATGATCCATCTATTATTAGATGATCTATCTATGAAAAGAACTCTCTGTTAGATGATCTATCTATTAGATGATCTATATTCTAAATGATCTATCTATTAGATGATCTTTCTATTAGATGATCTATCTATTAGATGATCTATCGATCAAAAGAACTACCTGTTAGATGTTCTATCTATTAGATGGTCGTTCTATTACTGTAGATGATTTATCTATCTTTACATAGAGTTACACATTCCATATCGATCCATATTGTTTGTTGTTGAATATTGTCATCTTGCCTGGATACTTTTGCTATCCAGTGGTTAGGAGGCAACAGTTCGGAGCGAGTGGTATTTTGCATGGGGAGCCTGTTGCAGCTGCGAGTTGAGTTTCCCAAGAGCTTTTGGTAAATCACAGAAACAATATGATAATCACAAGATCATCACCCAAAATGACTCAAATGAATACATATTACGTGTATATATATAATATACAGAGGTTTCGTAAGATAGGGATACATTCCACATCCAAGTCATGCATGACTTCGTATTGAAACCCATGGTGACTTGTGGTACCCCCAGTTTAAAAAAAAAAAACATACATACATACATATATATATATGCATACACACAAACACATGGTGATAGTGTTTGAAACCATGGTGACTTGTGGTATCCCCATATCAAACATATATACTGTATGTATATATATATATACACATTATCACCCTTTGATTGATAAAACTGAGATCGCCCAGGTCGTCCGATGTCTCGGCAAGGACACGTGAGTCAAAACCCTGGTCCCCAAACGGTACCTCAAAATAGCTGGTCAATGTATGTAAAAATGAGCCCAAACGGTAAGAAAATCGTTACACGAATGAAGCATCAACACGCTGGCATTCTGTATAGCAAAAATCGGAATTTGGCATAGAACATATGGATAAGTCGGATAAGATAGGCAATCTCTCGTTCAAAACGGGCAATGGAACATTCCACCTGGTTAACTCATAGGTGAGGATGTTCCAGACTTCAATTTCAATAGTTTGCCAACAAACATTATTGCGCAACCAGCCAAAAATATGCCAAAAATGATGAAACTCGGGAGTAGATGTTGACCAGTAAAAGGGGCACATGGTACAACTAAAACAGTTATGGAAATGCTAGTGTCGTTATCAGTTATCAGTGTTACCTTGGAAAGCATGAATCACATACACTTAACCAAACACTGAACCATGCAACTCTCCAAGAATGTGGCGTTGGAAGAGGCTAGACACCTGAGTGGGGCAGAGCCTCCTCATGGTTTCCAAGGGAGAAGTTGCCATCTGAAAAGAAAGATTGTTGGTTCTTGGAGGGCCAAATTGCAACCCTTTTGGAGGACTTTATTTCAGCACGAATTGAAGGAGAAAATCTGCTGGGTTTCCACGTTTCCACAAAGGCTTGGGTTTGGCCGCAGGAGTACAAGACGGCGATGAAGTCTGGAAAGATTCAGCATTGCAAATTTGAAGAGCTACTCGGTTGACCAGTTTTAGCGATTCCAGTTCCGAAGGAGCGAGAACTGGTAGCTTTCCAACATGTTTTGTGATACTCTTTAGACTTTTGAGTGGGTCATTCACTGGGTTTGTGCAGGGGAATGAATGTATTTGGAGGAAACCATCGTCTTAACACTCGAATACGGGGTGTTCCCATAATCATATCTGAGGTGTTGCAAGCAACTCTGTATGGCACTGCGTTTCAACATGAAATCAATCATGTTGCTCTTTTTGTTGGCCACTGGCCCATTTTGGCTAGAGTATCTTTTGCACCAAAAGATTCGACTTTTTTGGGGTTCAGAGAGTTTCAAGATGTTTCATGGGCTTCGTTTGCAACCTATTTTGGCAGTAAATGTATGCAGATGTGCAATATGAAGATGGTTCCCCTTCACCAGCCCATGCTTAAGTATGGGAGAGTGCGAAGCAATGCCAGCGGCTAGCAGTGTCACCCCATTTTTTCTTGTCACCTGCGCTTATCGCCAGCGAAGCCTACTTGAAAACGGATCTTGACTCACATCCCAGATCCAAATTGATTCATCAAACGACCCATTACCATATTTTGGGATGTTTGGGCTTAGCAATTTTGACAGTGGATTGTTCAATGATATTCACGCACCAAACTCTAGACCAATATCAGCTTCAGATTCTGCACATTTTGGTGACTGGAATTGAAATGTTTCGAGGTTTGAGATATCTTTAGATACCCTCTGGTAAACTAACATAACTATGGAAAATCACCATTTTTATTTGGAAAACTCACTATAAATGGCCATTTTCAATAGCTATGTTAAATTACCAGAGGGTATCTTCAACATGGAATGGTTTCGAGAAATTGAACATATTTGCCTCCTCGATGTATATGACATCGAAACCAGTCGTCCAATCTGGTTTTTATGATCTGAGTAGATAAGGTCATACATTTGGAACGATCTCTTCATCACAGAGACCGAGTTCAACATGACTTGCATCGAGTTCGAGCTGCAGGCCAAATCCTTCGAGCCGGTCTTCCAGTCGAGCTTTTGGGTCCAAGAATCCAACCGCACCACTAATTTTCAGCATCCCAAAGTAGAAACAAGAGAATGTGAAGGAAATATAAGGAAATTCGAAGCTTCGTGGATTCCGCCATGTTGAAGAACCAAAAAAAATCCGCCCACTTTCCCTGGTTAACCCCATCAGGCAGCCAACATCTTCACGCGAAATACCGTCCTGGGCACCGGAAAGGTACCGATGCCTTGATTTCGGGGCCTGGGATACCCTGGGATCTATTAGGAGACAGGGATAGAATGGGTGTATTAGGATATATATTTGGGGATATGATGAAAATTATTTTGGAGATATTTTGGGGATATATATCCGAACAATTCTGAAAATATTTGGGGATATGATGGAATAATGTTGCATATATATATAATGGATTGTACTGGAAAAGCTAAGCATAAAGGACCAATACGTAACCAACTAAGATATGCTGGGCTTGAGAATGGGGGTCAACCAGCTGAATGGGGTACCTTTTCTTTTTCAGACAAACCCGTCTACACCAGACTGAGTGAAACCCATTGTCCAGTGTTGACTCAGATTCGTTTTATTTCCAACTTCCTATATTGGAGTGTTCCATAATTAAAATTTGTGTTTAAGAATTTATATAACTGGTTGGTGGTTTCAAACATTTTTTATTTTCCATTTCATATATGGGATGCCATCCTTCCCATTGACTAATATTTTTCAGAGGGGTTGAAACCACCAACCAGATAAAATTGTACATGAAGTACATATAACATATCACTACGTATGTTCTACACACATACCATGGATGCAATGGTACCTACACCCAGCACTTTGGCGGCACAACTCCCCGCCCCCTTCGCTGTTAAGGTGCAGCTGGCGATGGTGAGACAACGACCAAATCACACCTACAATCGCAAGCAGATCTTTTGAAGCATTCGAAATGAGATGGTGAAACAGTAAAATATAGAGATAATTGAGATAATTATAGTGATAAATAGTGATATATGGATAATTATAGTGATAAATAGTGATATATGGACAATTATGGTGATAAATAGTGATACATGGATAATTATAGTGATAAATAGTGATATATGGAGAATTATAGTGATAAATCACTGGTAAAATATAGATCATCATAGTGACAAATAGGAACGATAGTGAAACATGTTTAAACAATTCTGAACATTGAGATTGGAAAATCATAGTATTGATCCCATCCTAACGGATAACTTTGAAACATACCTAAATTCATTACGGTGTCTTACTGGCGATTTTAATTAGTAGGGAATGGGGAAATTGGATGATTGTGAAAATCGTTTTGGAATGGGATGATTCCCTTCTCTACGTTTAGCAGTGAGTTGTAGGTTGATTGTTCTCAAAACTACTTGCTTAAGGCTACTTTTGAGCATTGTCGTGTGTGTGTTTGTAGAACAAAATTGGATTTCAAGAAATTGGTGACAAAAATGTGTAAAAATGATAATGATGTTATAACTGATGTTATAAACTATATATAACCGTTCTAAATTGTATCCGATTTTGGACGGGCCCCAGAGGGCTCGAAACGCTATGGCACCTGAGCGGAGATGGGAAGGGTCTGGTTATTTGTGTGCCGAACCTGAGTGAAACAGTGTTTTAAGACATGCAAGCCGCCATGGCAACCGTTTCAACCCAAGATTCGAAATTCCAATCTTTGGCGCTTTCAAACCATCACCTGGGATATCTTGGGATGCTCCCAGCTTTGCCTTTTCCTCAACAAATCAACTGAAAATCCAATTCCAAGTCATCCGAAACGGCGTTGCCCCAGGATCCAGCTGACGGTGGAGCACAAATTGACCTCCAAGTTGACGGTCACGGTCTTTTGCTACGGAGAGGCGCCATCAGTCGGCGGAGATTTTTTGTGTCGGAGACTCTTAATTTCATGATTGATGAACAATACTTGTAGGTATGAATGATGGTTAATGTTGGTTCATAGTTAATGACTTAATGATACTTAATAAACGTTAATGGCCCAGTATGAATTGATGATTGATTTGTATTAATGATGGTTAATGATGATGCTTGGTGATGGTGGTAAATGACAGTCGTTTTTAATTTTGATATGATAACATATAATGACCTCAATGTGACGTCACTGGAATGATAGGAAGGGGCAGTCATCCCAAACATTGCCATACTCCAGCTATGTCCAGGTTAGTGAAACAGTGTGATTCAGCCAGAATAATGATGATGGTTAAATGATTATTAAAATTATAATGTTTTATATATCTATCATATTTTCTCTGTTTGAACTCATGACTCCTAATTACGTGATTTGTGCAGCTTTTGACAAGGTGGTTATGGTTGCGATTCTTCTTGTTGATGTTGTTTCTCTTATTCTCCCTTATTTTACTCACCGTCTTCCCTCGTTGATGTATGAGTTTGTTTGAAATGGGATACTGGTTGGTGGTTTCAATCATTTTTTCTTTTCCATTTCATATATGGAATGTCATCCTTCCCATTGACTTTAACATTTTTCAAGATGGTTAAAATCACCAACCAGGATATAGGTATACGTCCTCCAAAGGTTTTCACGGGAATGGGAATGCCCTGCGCGACCGACCTAATCGCGCAGGGTGACAAGCCTCCAGCTCCTGATGGGGCCACAGAAAACAAGGACCGGCTGAAAAATCGACGAGCCCTATGTCATACCTTAAGCTGATTGGTGCTTTGGAACATTTTTATTTTTCCATATATTGGGAATAATTCGGAATTTCATCATCCCAACTGACGAACTCCATCATTCTTCAGAGGGGTAGGTATACCACCAACCAGTTAACTACTGTGCTAAGCGCTGTAATCAGGCTTGCTTTTGGAAGGTTTTTAGATTGTTTTTAGTATATTTTTCCCCAACAGCAGAATGCTTTGGGGTCTTCAGCCATAGTAAAGGTTTCGGAGCAGACCGGAGCAGCTCCAAAACCCATTCCCCCAAGGTTCCCAGGTTCCAAGTAAAGGTTCCCAAGTAAAGGTTCCCAAGTAAAGGTTCCCAGGTTCCCAAGTAAAGGTTCCCAGGTTCCCAAGTAAAGGTTCCCAAGGTTCCCAAGTAAAGGTTCCCAAGGTTCCCAAGGTTCCCAAGATTCCCAAGGTTCGCTCAAGGTTCCCAAGGTTCCCAAGGTTCCCAAGGTTCCTCAAGGTTCCCTCACGGTTCCCAAAAGGTTCCCAAAAGGTTCCCTCAAGGTTCCTTCAGGGTTCCCTGCAAGGATCCCAAGTTTTCCAAGTAAAGGTTGTCAAGGTTCCCAAGATTATTATGTAAAGGTTCCCAAGTAAACGTGGTCCAGGTTCCCAAGGTGACATTGCAAAGGTTTCTATAAGATTCCCAAGGTTAGATTGTCAAGGTTCCCTCAAGGTTCCCAAAAGGTACCCTCAAGGTTCCTTCAAGGTTTCTTCAAGGTTCCCTGAAGGTTCCCAAGTTTTCCAAGGTTCCCAAGGTTGTACTGTAAAGGTTCCCTCAAGGTTCCCAAGGTTACATTGTAAAAGGTTCTCAAGGGTTCCAAGGTTATATTGTCAAGGTTTCCTCAAGCTTTCCAAGGTTGCATTGTAAAGGTTCTCTCAAGGTTCCCAAGGTTACATTGTAAAGGTTCTCAAGGGTTCCAAGGTTATATTGTCAAGGTTTCCTCAAGCTTTTTCCGAGGTTGCATTGTAAAGGTTCCCTCAAGATTCCCAAGTTTCCCAAGTAAAGGTTGTCAAGGTTCCCAAGGTTGTATTGTAAAGGTTCCCTCAAGGTTCCCAAGTTTTCCACGTAAATATTCTCAAGGTCCCCAAGGTTATTATGTAAAGGTTCCCAAGTACAGTAGTAATATTCGTCGTAATATATAAATTTCTGGAAGATATTTGAATGCGGCTACACGCGCGGAACCCGCGCAGAACAACACGCGCGGAACCCGCGCAAAACGCAGACGCGCATAACGCGCATAACGCGCGGAAACCGCGCGAAACGTAGACGTGTGGAACCCGCGCGTACTATTAATACTTCTAGTAATAGTAGTAGTAGTAGTAATAATAATAACAAAAATATCGTAAATGTAGTAGAAATGATACTAACCGTAATATTGATTAAATTACAATTTGTAGAAATATTACTAATATTCGTCGTAATATTTTAACTTCTTCAGGAAATTTGAATGCGACCACGCGCGCAAAACCCGTGCGGAACCCGCGCGTACTATTTATAGTAGTAGTAATAGTAGTAGTAGTAGTAGTAATAGTAGTAGTAGTAGTCGTAGTCGTAGTAGTAGTAGTAGTAGTAGTCGTCGTCGTCGTAGTCGTCGTAGTAGTAGTAGTAGTCGTCGTCGTCGTAGTAGTAGTCGTAGTTGTAGTTGTAGTAGTAGTAGTAGTAGCAGTAGTAGTAGTAGTTGTTGTAGTAGTAGTAGTAATAGTAGTAGTAGTAGTAGCAGTAGTAGTAGTAGTAGTGGTAGTAGTAGTAGTAGCAGTAGTAGTAGTAGTAATAAAATCGCAGATGCAGTAGAAATGATACTAATCGTCATATTCATTGAATTATAATTAGTAAAAATAGTAATAAATAATGTTCATCGTTAAATATGATTTTTTCTTAGAGAAATTTGAATGCGACACCGCGCGTGGAACCCGAGCAGAACAACACGCGCGGAACCCGCGCGAAACGCAAACGCGCATAACGCGCGAAACCCGTGCGAAACGCAGACGCGCGGAACCCGCGCGTATTATTACTACTTCTCGTACTAATAATAATAGTAGTAGATGTATAGTAGAAATTATATTAATCGTAGTACTGATTAAATTACGATTAGTAGAAGTAGCAGTGATTTTCATCGTAATATATGAATTTCTTCAAGAAATTTAAATTCGGCTACACGCGCGGAACCCGCGCAAAACAAGACGTGCGGATACCGCGCAAAACACAGATGCGCGTAACGCGCGGAAACCGCGCAAAACGCAGACGCCCGAAACGCGCGCGTACTATTAATACTTCTAGTAATAGTAGTAGTAGTAGTAGTAGTCGTCGTAGTAGTAGTAGTCGTAGTAAGTAGTAGTAAGTAGTAGTAAGTAGTAGTAAGTAGTAGTAAGTAGTAGTAAGCAGGAGTAAGCAGCAGTAAGCAGCAGTAAGCAGTAGTAAGCAGTAGTAAGTAGTAGTAAGTAGTAGTAAGTAGTAGCAAGTAGTAGCAAGTAGTAGCAAGTAGTAGCAAGTAGTAGTAGTATGTAGTAGTAAGTAGTAGTAAGTAGTAGTAAGTAGTAGTAAGTAGTAGTAAGTAGTAGTAAGTAGTAGTAAGTAGTAGTAAGTAGTAGTAAGTAGTAGTAAGTAGTAGTAAGCAGTAGTAAGCAGTAGTAAGTAGTAGTAAGAAGTAGCAAGTAGTAGTAAGAAGTAGTAAGTAGTAGTAAGTAGTAGTAAGTAGTAGTAAGGAGTAGTAAGGCGTAGTAAGGCGTAGAAAGGAGTAGTAAGGAGTAGTAAGGAGTAGTAAGGAGTAGTAAGGAGTAGTA